CCACAGGGTATGCGCTGGACGCGGTCCTCGAGCGCGACAGCACGGTGTCGCTCTCCCTCTTTTGCGCGTGGTGGGTCGGCGAGAACCAGTTTGTGGCCTTTGAGAGCTTTCTCCGGTCGACGTTTGCGCGCGCCGAGCTCCTCGAGCGCCAGAACGAGCACTGCCGCTTCAAACTCCACGACAGCGTCGACGCCAAGCTCAAGCTCTCGGACGTCTTTGCCAAGATGGAGGCGCACAAGGTCGCGGTCGCGCTCAAAGAGTACTCGGTGTGCCAGACGTCGCTCGAGCAGATCTTCAATGCGTTTGCGAGCCAGCAAGACGAAGAGAAGGGCGTCGCGCGCGGCTTGGAAGTCAAGACGAGCGTCTGATTTTATATTGCCATTCTACCTACGCGTACTACATAGAGACACCATATACAATATATCGTTTCAACGACATGCCAACACTAGTGCACATGACAAAACATCGAAAGTTTTCTAAAGTCCACTGCACCTAGCCGTCGTGATGGTCGTCGCTGCACCGTTGGAGCTTGGGACGTCGCTCATCCGAAATGGCACTCTTGTCCCGGCGCTTGCCTCGTACGTTGGCGAGGATGGCGTCGACGGCAGCCACCATACGGATGTCTTCGGCCAACTCGTTTTGCTGAGTCGTGTATCGGTAAAGTCGCAGCGAGAGACACACCCGGGCTGCTCTTCCTTCTCGATCGAGTCCTCGTCGTCCGACTCGGAGCCCTCGCACTTGATAGCGCGGAGCCGCGTCGGGTGCGCGTGCAGAGTACCGCGAACGACGTCGCAGAGCGCCGCGATGTGACCCACGCGACGACGCATCGCGCCATCGTTAAGGAATTCCCGGAAAATCTTGCGATCGGCGCAGTGCGTCGGGTCGACAGCGATGTCGCGAATGACGTAATCGGTCATCGCGGGCAGCGGCGTCGCGTCACGGACGTCTCCGAGCAGCGCTAAGAACTGCGTCGCCAAGCACGTGACAAGAGCCTTCTCGTGCGGCGCAACGTCGTAGAGCGTCTGCAGAAATAGAAAGAGAAAGTAGCGGTACCGTGCCAAGGCGACATCCCGCTCCTCTGCGTCATGCGGCGGCAGCTGCGCCGCCCACGCGGCTGCAAACGTCGAGATCGATGCGGGCGACACGACGGCCAGCGCTTCGAGCGCCGCCACGCTTGGTCGTCCAAAAGACTCGTGGTGCGGGTTGTCGACGGCAAAGTCAAACGATTTCTCTTCGAGCGTCGTCACGGCGTCCATGATCTTGGGCGACAAAAGCGACCGTAGCTGCGGCGACGGTGCAGCGTTCAGCACCAGAAATAGGTGCGAGGTACCTGCGAGGGCTGCGAAGCCCCAGAGCCGCCAGAGGCTCTCAAGGCGCGTGGCCGTCACGAGTCCGTTGGTGTCCAGCAGGTGCAAGAGAGTCGCAAAGGCGTCCGGTCGCGCGTTGCGATGCAAGAGCGTCACACGGCCGCTGATGGAGTCGACGGCGGCGACGACCGCGTCGACGTACACCTGGAGCTGCACGGACGGCTGGCTGCGACGGACGCGGGCGAGTACACTGGGCAAGTGGACCAGCAAATCTTGCGCCGAACAGAGCTCTGTCGACGCAAGCAGCGTCGATGCGCCTGGGCGGCGCGGGTAGAAAAACGCGTCGACGGCCCCAACCATGGCCGGCGGCAAGTGCGCGCTGAGCCAGTTGCCGCGGGGCAGATTCGGCGCGTGCTCGTCCACGTACCAGTCGAGGAGGATGCAGTCGGCCATGAAGCCCGCGGTGTCGAGAGGTCGGTATCGCATTGCTCGTGGCCGAACCGAGTGCCAGCCCGGCTTGAGAAACTCGCACACGAACGGCTGGGCGAGCGCTGGGCAGACCGGATCGAGCGCAATACCAGCGAGGCTCGACAGCAGTAGCATGGCGTCTGGAACGTACCAGCGCGCGAGAAGGCCAGTAAAGGTCTCTTGCAGTTCGGGCCAGCCGCACTGGAGCAAGCACGCCTGGACACATGAAGCCGCGTCGTTGATCGCTGTCACATCCGTGACGATGATCGCGTCACCGAGAAAGCGTGTGACGAGATCCATGTCGTTGATCTGGAGCAAAAGCCGGCCAAAGGTAGTGGCGTAGCCAGCGGCAGACGTCGCCTTCGGCAGCACAGAGTGAAACTCTCGTCGATTCATCATGAAGAGCGGGATGATGTGCACCGCCAAGTCACGTGCGGTCGAGAAGCCGATCAAGTCGGCGGTTGTCGGATCGTCCACAGCGGCTTGGAGAAGCGGCAGCACCCTCGGAGGCCAAGGAGGGACACACGACAGCGCTTGGGCCACATGAACACCGCTCTCGCTGGGCATTTCAAGTGGTCGATGATGTAAAAGGGATACCGGGTGAGAAAGGCGTCCTCGCTCAGGCCGTAGAGGCCATTTGCGACATCAGCGGGCATCCTACACGCCGGGTGCAGAAGAAAGCGCTCGACGCTGTTCACATATGGATCGCCATCGACCTCGTCGGCCTCGGCCATCGTACGTGGCTTGTGAAAGGTGACGAGTGCGATGTCAAAGGCGCTGGTGGCCAGAAGCACCTCCACACGCGTCGTGTCGGTCGAGTTGAGCGCCGCGAACGAGAGCTCGTCGTCCTCCGTCTCGGCCTGCATATACGCAACGTACTCGAGTGGCGAGGTTTCTGCGAGCAGCGTGAGCTCCGTGATCACCGCGTCTTGGGTCGGCCGAGTCACGGGCCCGTCGGCCACGAGGCTGTAGACGAGGGCGATGCGTGTGCCGCTCGTGATGGGCGCTGACGAGAGCTCTGTGCCGAAGAGCGTTGTTGTGATGCGCGTCGCGTTTCGTGCCACGGCCTTCAGGCACTCCGGGCCGGAACGGTGCGGATACGTCAGGTCGCCGCCTTCGTACGGTGACGGCAGCTCGATGAGGAGCGAGCCAAACGAGTTGCCCGAGCCCGTCGCCTGGAGTGCTGCCGCCGACCCGACGCTGTCAACCACGAGGTGCGAGAGAAGAACGCGCATCTTCTGCCCTTGTGGTGCCGGGTCCAAGACGTTGCGCTGGACGACGTCGAGGAAGTTTTGGAGTAGATAGGTGGACCACGACGCATCGTTGCGGATGTAAAGCTTGTCGGCGGGAATGGCGTTCGTGTCGCCAGCCAGCGCCGCCAGTTGTCGCACTCGGTGCTCTGGCAGCGGCCACGAGAGGAGACCATCGACGCCGTCGACGCGCAGCTGCAACCAATCGTCATACCGGCATGAAGTGACCGAGTTGTGGTACACATGGCTGAAGTGCTTGATGTAGACCAAGGCGTCGTTGTAGGCCTCCTCCGGCTCAATATCCTCCGACTCGTCGCTACTGTCCCAGGTATCGCTAGCCTCGTCGAAGCTGTCTCTGGCGTCAACGATGTCGCTGGCGTCCAAGTCCATGCCAGTTGGAATCCGGATACAATGGCATATTCCGCATGGTATCCGGATAAGGTGTTTTCAACCATCGCGTGAGTGTTTTAAACTCTGGTAGTTTCAAACGCGCTCATGACGTGGCGCTGCGACATCAACGCAGGAAACACGCCATTGTGCTACACGTGCTTATTGCAACGTCAATAAGGCGGCCTTCCGAGTAGTGTCTGCTCTGCGCTACATAGCGCTTTGGACAGATGCGATTCCAGAAAGAGACAAGTCCGAGCCCACGCGAGACGTCCTCATCGACGAGCGCCTGCACAACAACCATCAAGATGCTACATGTGGTTCATTGCTGACAGGAGAATGAAGTGCACTTCTACGACGCAAGTCGCAAGCAGAGGGTGCAGCGACCAGGCGAATCCTTCGACTGCGAGAGCGCCTCGGCAACGTCGCCTTCAATATGCTCGGGCAGGTTGCGGACGACAAAAGGCGGGTTCGCGACAAGCGAGAGCATCCGGAGCACGGCATCGTAGTTGGTTGTGTCCTCGTCAGGTCCGTACGTGACGTTTTCGTCGAGTGTCAGCTCCTTGAGGTGGCGCCCCGCAGCAACGAGCTCTCTGCAGCAGTAGAACAGATCGAGGTTGGTCCAGAGATCCGAAGCCGCGTGGACCGACTGCAGCGTGGGGAGATCGGGCACCGCAGCCAGCACGACCTTGAGGGCTTCGCGGTCAAACGAAGGGCACGAGATGTCCAGCTTCGTGACGTGGCAGCGCGTCAGAGTCCGGCAAAGGAGCGTGAGCATCGCTGTGCTCGGCACAGTCGTCCGCACCGAGATGGAGGCGAGCGCCGGGAGCGTTGGGAGGACGACGCAGAGCTCCGCCATGTGGGCTTCGTCGAGGATAAAGCAGTCGATCGAGCGCACGTGATCGACGAGCGTCCACGCAGGCAGACGCCAGCGGAGGTTCCCAATGTAGTTGCAGCCGAGCTTTTCGAGCTTGGTGTGCTCGAGGGCATGTGCGAGGTCGTCCAGAATGGCGTCCGTCGGCGCGGGCGGGTCGTCGAGCCGACTCTTAAAAACGTTCCACGAAAAGTCGCGCAACGTGCGCGGAAGTCGGCGACCGTGGAAGCCATCGAGGCCAGGCACGTCATGCACTGCGATCTTGGTGAGCGTCGAGTTGGCTTGGAACGCGTCGCAGAGCGACGGCACATCGTCCAAGTCCATGCCCGGCGCGCGAGAAAAGACGAGCTCTTCGCCCGGCACTGTGCGCAGCCACTGCGCGACGAGGCGTCCAGCTTGAGGCACGGCACGCGCTTGATGCAAGTGCAGGGCCAGCTTGCGCACGGCCGGGTGCGGGATCGCTTGCAGCAGCGCCGGGAGTTCGGAGACCTCGTTGTCGTTCTGAACGTCCGACATGACCGAGACGTCGAGCGTGCGCAGCGATGAGCACTGCAATATGAGGTCGGCAATCGCTTGGCCGTCGCCGGTGCTCAGCATTTCGGCCTCGAACTCGACCATGAGGGTGGTGATGAGTGGACCAGCGGCTGCGACGAGCGCGGGGAGTCCCTGCAGACAACGCACGGTACCGATAATGTGAAGAGGTAGACGCAGCGATGCAACGCTGCGCAGCAGGTCCAGCAGCTCGGGCGGTAGGTCCGTGTCGTCGAGCTCGATGCTCGGCCAGTATACCCGAAGCTCTTCGTGGCGGGACTCGCAGAGAGCCATGAGCGCGGTCAGCGCCGGCGTCCAGAGCTCCTCTGGAAATGCGCCAAGAAAGTTGCCAAAGTCGTCGGCCGACGGCACGAAGCGCGCAATCGCCTCGATGAGACCGGGCTGGAGGAGCCCGTCGGGCGTCGCACGGGCGGTCTTGCAAGGACGTGTCATCTTCGTCTCTGATGTGATTGGCCAAAACCCATGGCTTGCGCAACTTTGATTGGTTCCTGCATTGCCTAGTCGCAGACTGGCTTCCTGGGTCCAGCGCATCAAGGATTGCTTGCATGCACTGCCACGTCATGGAAACACACGTTTTGATTAGCTGCAGGCGACCGTCGAGGCGTGGCGCTTGGAGACTACTACTGCGTACGGCGGCGGCGACGGCAATGTGACGCTGAGGGCTTTTCCCTTGCTGCTCTTGCTGCGCTGGAGACGCCTCTTCACGGGGGTAAAGGTGCATAGTCGCAGGTCCTGCTCCTCTTTAAGCTTGGCGAGGCGCAGCGCGCGGTCTTGGAAGTAGTGCGGTTGGTACAAACGGGCAAAGACAGCACTCAAGCCGTAGCTGGTCTGACTGCTCACGTCGCTTTCGTGGGGAGAGTGGACGACGCTCTTGTCGTCAAAGACAGCGACGGAGCCGCCTTGCAGAAGCGCACTCTTCGTCGCGGCTTCGAGCTTCTCCCAGACCAGCTTGGCCTTGCCCTGCGCACCAAACCGTCACTTTTGGCCAGAGAGGGGGGTTGACCGTACCGGAAACCGAGCTTGGAATGTCCAGAACGTCTTGCGACTGGAGGCGCGCACTGCAGCGTTGGCGTCGCAGAGACCGAGCAAGAGGTGCTTGGCCATGCAGTCGGGTACATTGTGTCTACTTCAGCGCTGAGTGCTCAGCCATTGTAGGAGGTTGAGCACCGTAGCAGAAACTTGGCATTCCACGTCACGGTGATCACGTCAAAGTACTCGATGCAGACGCGGCGCAGGGTGGGGCTCTTGGACGCCGCGGCCTCGGTCAACCTACGCGCCTTGAATTCGCCACCAAGACTTGCAAGGAAAGATTAGTGTACCTGGGCAGGACCGAGTAGTGGCCCGTGCGTGTGCTCTGGAGCATGGTCCGGATGCAGTCGTCGGCCGCTTGCGCCACCACCTACGCCGTTTTCTTACAAGGGGATATTTCCAGGCAAAAGTACCTCGATGGAAGCGACGACAGCCTTGAGGAGACTCGAGAGAAAGATGTCGACGTGGGCCTGGAACGCAGCCTCCTTCATCGTCGACGCGAGCACAGCGATGGTCGCACAGGCCTCCTTGACGACGGCGGAGCGCAAGTCGCCCACGTGGTGGGCAATCGCATCTCGAAGCTCGTGCACGCCGTTGAGAAAGCAGTGGGAGCTCTGGCTCCGCTCCCACGTCGCCCACTCGGCGATCGTTCGCAGCGCCTACGCCATGCTTGTCGCATGCACGCGGACTGCGTTGGAAGAATTACCTGCACGCGGATCGTCCAGTCGGACGACGGTCGCAGGTTGTGGAGCAGGCTCGCAATGCAAGGAGGCATATTCTAGCGATTTTCTTACGGCAAGCATGGCAGTGGCCGACGTGTTACCTCGGCAGCCATGGAATCGGCAAGTGCCTCAGTCGCGGATCGCTAATCCCGACCTTCGAACCTGCAACGGCTCAACGCACGACGCGTTAGACAGGCCGACCGCCGAACAATTACACTCACATTTGCTTTGACTACGCTACTGGATGCGACACGAATCTGCGCTCTCGCTGCGCTTCTTGGCGCGGTGGCCGCCGGCGACGTACTCGATGATTGTCTGGCACGCGCGCTTCCGCTGGTCCGAGAAGGCTGCGATCTTGCCTTGCCGCGCCGCCTTTTCGAGGTCTCCGAGCTCGATCTCCCGCCGCCGCCGCTTCAAAAGCACCCCGACGACGTCCAAGTGCCCCATGTACGCAGCGACCCGCGCCGCACCCGCGACGTCCAAGGCGGCGTAATGCGCCTCGAGAAAACGCACGACTTGCACGTGGCCGTGCTGCGCCGCGTCCATGAGCGCCTTCTCGGAGCAGCCTTCGTTGCGCGCTTCGTGCAGAAACCGCACCACCGCGACGTGGCCATGGCGCGCCGCGGCGTCCATCGCGCACGGCGAGAAGCCTTCGTAGCCGTGCTCGTGGAGGAAGCGGAGCGTCTCGACGTGGCCGTTGCTGGCCGTAAAGTTGATGGTCGCCGTGCCGATGCCGTAGTCGAGCTTCATGTCGCGGGCGTACTGGGCGAGCGCCAGGTGGCCGCCGACGCACGCGAGGTGCATGAGGCGGTCGGTCGGGAACCCGCGCTCGTGCAGGAAGCGGACGACGTCGAGGTGGCCGTTCGAGGACGCGACGCGCATCGCCCGCGTGTCGTAGCTCGCGCGGTCGTGCTCGTAGAGGAAGGCGAGCACGTGTACGTGGCCAAAGAAGGCGGCGACGATCCACTGCGTGTAGGCAAGCACCTTGCAGTCGAACGGCGTCATGGACTGCACGATGCCGAGGTGGCCGTACACGAGGCCGTAGTACTGGACGTGGTACCGCAGCTGGAGGCGACCCCAGTCGTACACGAAGCCGCGCGGCCGGAGCCGGTCATGGAACGGGCCAAAGGCCGCGGCGCAGGCGCTTCGGTACTGCGGCGCGTTCTTCTGCTGGAGCTGGATGAGGTCGTGCAGCCGGACGTCGCGGAGGAGCCGGCGCAGCACGAGCGTCTCGTGGTCGAAGCCTCGCTGGTAGGCCGCTATGACGAGGAGCAGATCCCGCGACCCGAGCACATGGTTCATGCTACGGCAACTCTCAACATGACCCCGTCGTCTCTCTTCCGATCCGAGACAGCTAAATCGAGCGGATACTGCGATTGGCAGCCAGCAGGATTTAACGCATGTGATTGGTTGAACGCTTAAATTTCAACCAATGTGTGAAGGTGAAATCGACAATCACGAATTGCACCACTGCATCAGGAATTAACGGCTCCCATCAAGAGTTAGCAAAACTTATCCGGAAATGGTCCCTGCCAAGAACGTGGTCGTTGTCGGGCTGAATGAAGGAGATCGAGAGCAAGAAGCACTCTGGCGTCAATCATGGCATGAACATGGCACCAACTTGGAGTGGGTACTGCTCTCGGCAAGCCTTATGATGGACGCGTTGAGAAAATGGCGAGGGATTGGCACCAAGAATTCCGAGGACCAATCTAGAGGATTCGCAGGATTTACGCTAAACTGTACCTTATCTTATCCGGAATTCCACGAGTGTCCGGATACTAGCAGTGGAAGCGACGATGAACGCTCCGCGGACGGAGTACCATGTCATGCAGGGCTCTGTGCCCGACGTGACGACGGAGGCCGGGCGCCAGCTCATGGACCAGGTCGCCGCAATGGACAGCGGCGCCATGATGACGGACGGCGCGCCGTACGATGGGCGTGGCTTCTTGGACCCGTCGGACCGGCTGTACCTCGTCGAGCAGGCGCAGGCCGGCCGCGAGAAGGAGGAGCGCGAGCGAGCTCTGGAGAAGGACGCGGTCCGATCGTTCTACGAGTTCCAGAGGAAAGAAGGCGCGAAACCGCGGCTCCAGGAGGTCCCAGACCTCGTCGAGAAACCTGTGCTCCCCACAACGGCGCCGATCGTCATCGTGCCCAAGAAGAAGAAGAAGACGACCAAGCGCGTGGCGGCGCCGAAAGCAGCGCCGCGCGCCAAGAAGACCAAGACGACCCAGCCAGCGCTCGTCGGCTATGGCTCGAGCAGCGAATCCGAATCCGAATCCCCAAAATCGTAGTCTCTTTCTTATCGTTGACGTCTACGCTCTGCACCACTGTCACTACCTCGTCCACACAGGCTGTACGCTGCTAGAGCTGCATCTGGCAGCTCGGTGCTTGCTGTCGTACATGCTATTACTCCACGACGATGCAGCAAATGATGCATGCCTGTGTTGGCCCCCCGAACCGGTTTGCTGTGATCAACCGATAAGGAAACGTACAACCGGTTATCGTCGGCGCGACCATGGATTAGAAACTCGGTTTGATTGTGAATCGATGGAGCGCGGACAAGGCCGTGGACGCGGTGGCCGCGGGTCGGACGGCAGCGCTGGACGAGGACGAGGTGGTGGCCGTGGGCGCGGTGGTGGCCGTGGCGGGTAGCGTCGTGCCAGCGATCCATGCGCTCAAGCTGCGTGCATGTGTAGGCGCGGGCCGCCGATCGCGCTCTCGGAAGAGTTTTGCATGGACATTGCCACGCAGCTGAAGGAGCTCATGAACGACCCGTCAATTCCGCGTACGTCGACCTCTCGCCCATGGCGCCTCCTCATGCAGGCGACTAGACGTCGTGTTTCCGAGCTCGCTCGACAACACGGAGCGTCGGTACATCCACACGGTCGCGAAGAAGTACGGGCTCTTCTCCAAGAGCAAAGGCAAGGGCGACGACCGCTTCATCCACGTGAGTCGCGCCAAGACGACGGTCAACATGGAGACGATCTCGCTGCGCATCTCGCCGGCGCCTCTGAGCGTCTCGATGGACACGCTCCAAGAGATGCAGGACGTCTTGGCGCTTGATGCACCCTCGCCAGATCGTACGTCTACCTTCCTTACCATGTGCATCTCATCACGCTACGTAGGCGCTCAAATGGCCATGCCGCCGCCGTTCCGCAAGCCGCGAGCGGCGTTCAAGTCGGCGTTCCCGCCCGTGGCGCCGCCGCACAAGTACACGAGCTCCCAGCGCGCGCTGCCGGCGCACGCGCACCGCGACGAGATTCTGGCGCTCGTGCAGAAGCACCAGGTGGTCGTTGTCGCCGGCGACACGGGCTGCGGCAAGTCGACGCAGCTGCCGCAGTTCCTCATGGACGCGCCGGGCCCGGCGCGGCGCATCGTCGTGACGCAGCCGCGACGCATCTCGGCCATCACGCTCGCCGAGCGCATTAGCGACGAGCGCAGCCTCGAGGTCGGCAAGGAGGTCGGGTACTGCATTCGGCTCGATGCCAAGTACTCGCACGCCGCGACGCAGCTCATCTTTGCCACGACCGGTATGCTCATCCTTCTCTTCGTATCGCTCATGGCTATATGGAGGCACGCTCCTGCGCTGGCTCGGGAGCGATCCGCTCGGGAAGCAGTTTACGCACATCGTCGTCGATGAGGTCCACGAACGCGACAAGGACACGGACTTTCTTCTCGTCGTGCTCAAGCTCATCCTGCCGCTGCGCCCGGACTTGCGCGTGATCCTCATGAGCGCGACGATCCAGGTCGACAAGTTCTCGGCCTACTTTAATCAGTGCCCGATCGTGAGCATCCAAGGCCGCATGCACCCCGTGCAAGCGTGCTTCCTCGACGACGTGCTCCTGCTCCTCGACAGCTCCGTGCCGAGCAGCAAGACCAAAGCGTCGACCAATGAGCGGCCGAAGAAGAAGCAGCGGGCGCTCGACGCGTCCTGCGTCATGTGCGGCAAGTGCGACTTTGCGGACGAAGGGGACTTTGGCATGCACGTCGCCACGTGCTTTGGCGGGCAGTGGGTACCGCCGACGGCGACGCCGGACGAGGCGCTGCTCCTCTCCATGCCTGCGGACGAAGACATGGAAGCGCCCGTGGACGACGCGGTCCTCGAAGGCTCGGTCTGCGACCAAGTGGCGCGACGCCTCGCCGCCAAGCGCGCGCACGCCAAGCCCAGCGTCATCGACAACCTCGTGTCTTCATACCAGCTCTCGCAAGACGCGCTCGGCATCGACGGCGGTGCGTCACGCCTGCCATGGCATGTCTCATAGCGACAATCGTGTAGGCGTCGACGTGGACCTGGTGGTGCGGCTCTTGGGCCACCTCATGTCCGTGTCGTACGGCGAGGGCGCGATCTTGGTCTTCCTGCCTGGCTGGGACGACATCCAAGCCATCGCCGACGTCCTCGACATGCAGCCTGTCTTCCGCAAGTGCATGATTGCGATCCTGCATTCGCGCCTCTCGCCACAGGAGCAGAAGCGGTACCGCATCCAGTGTCTCAAGTATCAAGCAAGTATCAAGTGGGATGTAGGGCGTTTGCGCGGCCGCCCAAGGGGGCGCGCAAGATCATTTTGGCGACCAACATTGCCGAGACCAGCGTGACGATCGAAGACGTTGTTTACGTCATCGATACGTGCAAGTCGAAGCAGTCCAAGCTCATCAACGGCTACAGCGCGCTGCACACCGAGTGGGTGAGCGACGCCAACTGCAAGCAACGCCGCGGCCGCGCCGGCCGTGTCGCGCCCGGCGTCTGCTTTCACCTGCTCACGCGGCAGCGGTTCGAGTCGCTGCCGGCCTTCTTGACGCCCGAGCTGCTCACGACGTCCCTCGAAGACTCGGTCTTGGCCATCCAGATGCTGCAGTGGCAGTCAGGCGACTCGCTCGGCTTCGAGTCCATTGGCGAGTTTCTGAGCCTCGCGCCCGACCCGCCGCTGACCCACGTGGTCGAGGGCGCGATCGCGTCCTTGCAGGCGCTCGGCGCGCTCAACTCGGACGAGTCGCTCACGTACCTCGGGTGGGAGCTCTCGCAGATGAGCCTCTCGCCAGCGATCGCCAAGACGCTGCTGCTCAGCACCTTCCACGACGTCGCCGCGCCCATCTTGTACTCGGCGTGTGCGCTCAGCTACCGCGAGCCGTTCGAGTCGGAGCTCGGGACGTCCGGCGCGCAGCGCAACCAGCGCCGGCTCGTCAAGGCGTCGCTCGCGAGCGGCCACGAGAGCGACCACTGGGTGCTGTACGCAGCCATCTACGGCTTCCTCCTCGCGTCCGACCGCGACCGCTCGCACTACTGCCGCGCCAACGGCTTGCTCCAGCCCGTCTTGTTCCACACGTCGGGCGTCATCAAGCAGATCGAGGTCGAGTTCACGAGCCTCGGATACGCGATCCCGCCGCCTATGGGCCCGCCGAGCCCGCCGATGGCCATGGCCGTCCTCGCCAGCGGCCTGTATCCGAACCTGATGTACCGCGACGTTGGCTCGGTCCACTACACGACCAAGGACAAGTTCAAGGTCCGCTGTGCCTCCTACCGAATCCTTATCTCATGGCGCGTAGGTGCGTCGCGCCGGTGCGTCGGTCCTCTCGCCCAAGGTAGTACAGAGCGTACACAATCTCGGGGGTGCTCACCCTTCAGTCATAGAAACCCACAAGCCGCGAGTGGGTCGTCTTCCACGACATGATGCAGACCGAGCACGCGCGCACGGCGCAGGTGATGACCAAGGTGCATCCGTTCACGCTGGCGCTCCTTGTCGGCGCGTCGGCCGTTCTCGAAGAGCTGCCCGACGTCGACGACGATGACAAGAAGAAGGACGACGATGAGGACGAGGCGGCGTTTCTCGACGGCGTCATCGTTGTCATTGACGGCTGGATCGCGCTGCAGATGGAGCGCGAGGTGGCCACGCTCGTGCTGCGACTGCGCCAGCGCCTAAGCGACGCCTTCCTCAACTACGTCGCGGCCAAGAGCCACGCCTCGCTCTCTCCCGCCGACGCCGCGCTGCTTCACGCCGTGGCGTCGTGGGTCGGCCGCGAGACGCAGCGCTAGACTCTATCATCATCCAGACGCATGGGTGTAGTACATGTGATTCTTCTTAGATGATTGCTTAGTTGTGGAACTTCTTGTTGGTCTTGGCCATGTCCTGGAGGAGCGCGCAGGGCGTAAACTGCTCGCCATACTTGTCCGCGAAGCGGAGCATCATGTCGTTGTACTTCTGCGAGCCAATCTTGTCGACGAGGCGGAACGGGCCGCCGATGAACGGCGGGAAGCCAATGCCGAAGACGGCGCCAATGTCGCCCTCGGTCGGCGTCGCGATGATCTCGTCCTGGACGCAGAGAATGGCCTCGTTGACGAAGCGCGACACGAGGCGGTTGGTGGCCTCCTCGTCCGAGAGCTTGAGGTCCGTGAGCGCATACTTCTTGACGAGCGCGATGGCCTCCGGGTTGATCGTCTTCTTCTCTTTCTTGCTCTTGGGCTGGAGAAAGAAGCCCTTGCCCGACTTCTTGCCGAGCATGCCGGCCGCAATCATGTCGTCGAAGATGGCCGGGTTGCCGCCCTGCATGCGCACACCGAGCGCGGCCGAGAGCGTCACGTTGACGTGCTTGGCGACGTCAATGCCGACTTCGTCCGCGAGTGTGATGGGGCCGACGGGGAGACCCCACTTGGTGACCATCTTGTCGAGGCGCTCGGGCTCGACGCCCGACTGCACCAGCGAGAGCGTCTCGGCAATGTACGGGCCGAGGCAGCGGTTCACGTAAAAGCCAGGCACGTCCTTGACCACGATGCACGTCTTGCCCTGGCGAAGACCGACGTCGACCGCGCGGGCCGCCACGTCGTCCGACGTCTTGGGGTGGCGGATGATCTCGAGAAGCGGCATCTGCGGCACGGGCGAAAAGTAGTGCATGCCAATCACGTTCTCCGGGCGCTTGGAGGCCGACGCGATCTCGGCGACGCTGAGCGCCGACGTGTTGGTCGCGACGATGCAGTGCTCCGGGATGTACTGCTCGAGGTCCTTGATGACCTTGTGCTTGAGCGCCATGTCCTCAAACACAGCCTCGATCGCGAGGTCGGCGTGGCTCATGTGCTTCTTCCACACGTCGTCCTGGTCGTGGAGCGGCACGATGTTGGCCATGACCGAATCGCGCTCAAACACAGTCATGCGGCGCTTCTTGACGCGGCCGTCGAGGTTGTTGCGCACGTAATCCTCGCCCTTGGAGGCGGCCGCGGCGTCGCGGTCCTTGAGGAGCACGCGGATGTTCTTCGAGGCCGACACCTGCGTGATACCGGCGCCCATGAGGCCGGCGCCAATGACCGCCATCGTCTGCACGGGCGCGGTCGGCTTGCCGTACCGGTTCTTCTTGAGCTGCGTCTGGCCAAAGAAGATGCTCATGAGCGACTTGGCTTCCGTCGTCATGCCGAGCTTGGCGAAGTTGGCGGCCTCGACTTCGTAGCCGCGGGCGCTCGACTCGTAGCCCGCCTGGACCGCTTCCAAGATGAGCTTGGGCGCCGGGTAGTGGCCGCCCGTCTTCTTGGCGACCATCTCGCCGGCCTTCTGGAAGACGATCGAGCGCAGCGGCGTGTCTTCGAGGACGCGGTTGACAAACGCCTTGGACTTCTTCGCCTTCTTCGACTTGCCCGAGCCGAGGCTCTCGGCCATCGCGATCGCCGCGTTCTCAAGCGCATACGGGTCCGCGACCTGGTCCACGAGGCCCATCTTCTTGGCCTTCTCCGGCTTGATGTTCTTGCCCGTGAGCATCATGTCGAGCGCGGCCTGGAGGCCGACGAGCTTGGGGAGGCGCTGGGTGCCGCCGGCGCCCGGGAGCAGGCCGAGCATGACCTCCGGGAGCGCGAGCGACGTCTTCTTGGACGACGACGCAATGCGGTAGTGGCACGCAAGCGCAACCTCGAGGCCGCCGCCCATGCACGAGCCGTCAATGGCGGCGATGAAGGGCTTAGACGACTTTTCGATGCGGGCCATGTAGCCCTGGCCGGCGGTCGAGAGCGCGCGGACCTCGGCCTCGGTCGTGCAGGCCTGGAGCTGCGCAATGTCGGCGCCGGCGATGAAGCAGCCGGGCTTGCCCGAGATGAGCACAACCGACTTGATCGACGCGTCCTTCTCGACCGTGTCGAGCATCGTGACGATCTCCTTGGTCATGTTGGCGTTGAGCGTGTTGACCTTGGCCTGCTTGTCGTCGAGGCGCACGATGGCGACGCCGTTGGCGCGCGTCTCGAGGCTGAGGTAGTCGCCGGCGAACGAGCTGAGCTGGCGCGCGTGGCGGCGCGGCTGCTTCCGCAGGGCGAAGCGGAGGGCCATGAGGATATTGAAGAATGGGAGGCCGGGAGTGGAGATCTTTCTCCGGGTTTGCTCCGGCACCCTGTTGACTCGACAAGGCCAATCACAGGCGTTGAGTCGACGACCACCTGTCGACTCAACAGACGCAACTTCAACGTGCCCTTCGACACCATTGCGACCGCCGACGCTCTGCGTCTGGATGGTCCGTGCACTTGGAGTCTGCATCCCTTTCAACGCGTTCGCATGCACGCCTGGAAGCAACGACATGCAACTGCAGGTTTCTGCAGCCACGAGCGGCGACGGCGGCAGTCACATGGCTGCATGGAGCCGACTGCTTCCGTGGATTGTCCTTGGCGGTACTAGCATCCCCGCAGACACGTCACGAGGTGGCTGTACCTCGGGCTCGAGCCATGGCAGGGAATAGATGAGCGACTCGATGCGCAGTCGGCGCGGCAGGGCGAGAGACAACGGCTCGTCATGGGCCACTTCAATGCTGGAAGCACCAGGAAATCCTCGCTGCATGTCGACGAGCGCGTGTCACGATCGCAGCCCGCTGTTTTCCATACTATTTACGTCGACGTGAAATACTGTCAGCGTATGTGTCACACTATATATTTTTATCCCACTGCCAAAATCCAATTCGCCGCTGGCGGACCACTTGCCTCGACGACAGCTCTTCCGACGTTGATCGACCGCCATGCGTCCCGGGTGCTAAAGTCGACGGGCCATCAGCGCCAACGCAGAAGCTTCGATCGAGCTACCAAGGTACACGCTTCGATCGAGTGGTGGCGCTGGCCATCGACCTTGGGGACGACGGAGGACACCACCCGCAGGTTTCTTGACCATGGTCATGGCCTCGCACGCGCTTCCGTCGTCGCCACGCTCGACTTCCATCGACCTCAGTCGTGCTCGTCATCGCGAGTGGAGCTCAGTGTGCACTGGCGCGCACGCCGAAAGCTCGACTGGTCTGCGCCATTAGCTCTGTCCCGCAGCGCTTGGGCCGGACGACAGCGAATGTTGGGCGCTGGTTCGCTGGTTGCTTACGTCTACCTCGTCGCACCCAAGTCCAAACCGACCGAGTCGTCGCCGCTCCACGCCAAGGTCAACGCCGCCTCGTAGCTCAAGCGCCTCAGTTTCCGGGCGACGCGTCTTGTCGCAAAGCGCTCAACCTCACCAAGCTCCTATCAAGAGTAGATCAATAAATTTATATACTCGTGGTTGTTGAGAGTGTGCTGCGTGATGGACGAGGAATGTAATACTTTGGAGCCGCGTGTTTTTCTCGACCGTTGGCACATCGTCCGGGGCCATCTTGTCGTCAGACGACAGTATGTCATCATGAAGGAAATAACTACCCTTCGTCATCGTCGTCTGTGCTGGCGCTCGGGGCTTATTAGCTCGCTGCTTTTGGAGTCGCGCAGCTTTCTCTTCTGGCCATTGTTGCACGCATGCTTTTTGGTGGTGCTCACAGACAACCCCGGAGCAACGCCACAGAGCTCGAGCGACATGGCGCCAAGACGCGACGAGTAGGTAGGACACATGGGCCTCGGGATGACACGTCTTCTCTGTCAAGCTGTGACTTGATGGTTCCGATGCCAACGCCAATGGGAAAGAGAAGAAAGGGACAACACCTACGGGGCTCGAACCCCGCACCTCCTGCATGTGAAGCAGGAATCCACCGACTGGACAAAAGGTGGTCGACTAAGTGCCATCTGCATCTTGACAGCCTCCCCACTGGGTACTCTACTGAGGAGTGCTCTCATCGGGGAGAGTGGCCAGTGTCAGATCGTATGCAGATCGGCAGCCGCGTACTAGGCGGTAGGGACAGGAATGGGACAAGAGAGAGTGAGTCCGCCGCGGCCGCACTCATCGGCACTCCATGAGGATGGAGGGTGAGTGAGCCCTCACATGCGCCTGGCGCGTGCTCCCCTAGCACCCATGTCAGCTGCGCCTCCTCCATATCAAATGGATGCACAGTGTAGAGAGCGTGACTCGACCTCACGAAGTCGCTGCCCCAAAGAATCTGCCGCCAAGTCCTACACAGCTGTGGCCTGCGAAGCTGGCGTGCGCAAGTGGACAACCCAATAGATATGACTGATGTTTGCTTTCATATTTATATATACATGGAGAAGCTCTGCGTCGGCGCCGGAGGAGCGTCTCGAGTCGGCGCTGCTAGCCGGTCTCGCGCTCGCATCGAAGCTGCTCGAGGCGACTGGAGGAAGACGACGATGACTTGGCTTTCTTTGTCTTCTTTAGCTTCGAGTTCGTCTTGTTACCGGCGCAGTCAAGCGCATCAGCTACCCGCGTATCGTTGGCGGCGGCCATGAGCGCCTTGGGTTGCGAGGGCGACTCGCGTCGACCTATCTGGCAGTGGACCGATCTCAGCGCGCCGCCGAGCGCGATGCCTTCATCTGTGCACTTCTTGATGCTGGCGACTGGCGGTCTCGTCGGGCGCAATCGATATCCGGCGACGTCGGCTTGGTCTTCTTGAGCACCTCGACGCGGCCGTCGAGGTTCCGCTTCTCGCGGAAGGCAGCGCGCTCTACCTCTTCGTGCAGCCGCCCGTCGCGCCGGACCTTCCCGATGTTGGCGCGCGCTGCAGCGCTTGGGGGTCCGGCTCGTTTGGAACTTGATCGGGAATGGATGTTTTATTGGCTGAATTCTTGATTCTTTCTAGCCAATCACAGGACTGACTTGGTTCACGACCTCGTCTTAAATAGTGTGAGCACCATTCAGCACAACGACGAGTAGCAGCCCAGAGACGTGCCAGCGCCACGTAGCAGCCGTGTATACCTCTCCACACACTTCTTGAATGACGTACATGTCGTTTCCGACACTGCACGAAGCGCAATCACGCGCAAATCCATTTTCCATTTTTCGAGGTGGTGGCGGAATTGCCCAAATACTTCACGTGATAATGCGGGGTTCCAAAGCTCCAAGGACCGTAAGACTGGCTGCCACAGTTGGTAATGGGTCTTGACCCGGTGTGCGACCAGTTTGTTGGTCGCCGTCGTTGCTTGGGCACTCACACCAAACTCGAACTGCCGAGGGTCGGTTTTCAGGAAATTCGACATGCAATTTCGGTTAGAAATGCGTCGAAATCGCGGAAACCGAGGACGCTGCCTCTTTTGACTTATGTGAGAGAACGTGTTGCATGTGGCCGAGGGAGGGAAAGTGCGCGCGATACCACTGCGTGATGAGGCATTGTATCTTGTACAGTATTTCGGTTTAGCGAAAAATCACACTATATCAACATATTGTTTGCTGCTGTCATTTGCTCTCGCTACAGAGCTCGCACGGCGACGTCACATAGCATTTTGGATTCTTCAAAGTGTGGTCTAGCACTCCGGCAAGTATGGGCGATTTGATTTTCAAACTTCGTTTTGGTCGATCCGCCGGCGCGGCGGGCCTGTGTTCCCCAAAATATGGTTGTTTATGGTTGTAGATGGCGAACGCCAATTATATTGACCGGCGACGCAATAGAGTCGACGCTGAGGCTCCCCGAGGACAACTGACGCTGCTGCATTGTACTCACAGAGACTCATTCTCTACGCACACGCTATCATGAGATATCGCTCGGTCGCAACGCAGATTTCCTCGTCGGTCTCCCTCAGTCAACGCCAAGCCAAATCGTTTTGAGTCAATCAGAGCGACAATGCGTCTCTCGTGCCTCACACTGCTTCATTTGACAATGGAAAAACGCGATATTGGAACCAATTTCTTTCCCACTCGGAGTGCTCATTCACAACATTGAGACAGTGGCGTCTATTGGAATTAGTCTCGACACGTTGATAGTGTGCGACTCCAACCCTCGTAGTGATAGATTAGTGTGAAAGGTCACCATATCTAGAAGGATCTCATAGGATAGCTTGTGGGGCCACAGGGCTCCTCACTTACCAGTTAACCACCAATCCACCTCGTCTTTGGGTAAGTCGGTCTCCTCCCACACCCGCGGGATCCGCCCGTTTAACAGCGTCCTCCACCAACGTGCACAACGATAGACCAGCGTGATCGTGGCTCGGAGCGTGGAGCCACTTTACACTATGCGCACACTATATGATGGAAGACGTCTCTGAAATGTCATGCGCTTGGGTTGTTTTTCACGAAATTGGAACGTCCTTTGTGTACCAGCTTTTGGCTGGCGGTTAGATAGAAACCTTATCATGCGTCGGTTTACGGTGCGGCGCTGGTAGCCCTGCACATCTCTTCGTTGCATCTTCTAGAAGAAATGCACGTGCGCGGCTGAGCTTGAAGGTTTTCGTGCCCATCGCGTGCGCCGTACCACACCAGGCTGCCAGGCTACCGCGTTACGAATGAATAGTGGTTACTGCGATGCCAAACGGGCCCTTGCGCTCGGCGAACTCGGCGACTCGGTGGTGTTATCGGCGCACTGGTCTTCTAAGCGAAGGGGCTCGCAACTAGCCAAAGCGGTCGCACGCTCTTGTGATTTCCACTGGCCGTATCTTTAGAGCCCGCGCGGACGCCGATTGGTGGAATTTAGCGAATCACATGCGCCAGATTCGCAACCCCCAGCAACACCCCACGCCGCGTCGCTGGCTCCGGAGACGGTGGAGCATAGCGCAGGTCGATAGATCCGAGTAAGCTTACGCTTATAGCATCGCGTTAGAGCAAGACGAAGGTAATCTGGTTTTGGCGCCGATCTTCAACCATTTTGCGATTGTGTAATTCCTTCTTTGCAGTATTTCATAGGTCTTCCATCGTTTGTACCTCGGCTCGAGTCACCTTACGAGCGGAACGACCCAGGGCTACAACGACCCGAGACTTTTTCATAGAGGCCGCCAGGAGTCCCGACTCTCGCTGGCGCGAAGAGCCCAAAGCTCAACATGCTAGATAAGACATGTATTAAAGTTTCATTAGCCTTTCTACACGGACCACGGGAGCGCTCTGCGGGTCGTGAACTTGCGACCGTACATGGTACATTCCCTTCTTGCACAAAGAACACTTCTTTACGTGGCGTATGCACCTATACACATCTGTTGCCACCTTGTGAGGTTGAACTTTTCATGGTACACAGGCTGTCATTTTCCGTTCTGCTCTCAACCCACCACTGCCATCACTCTCTCGACGCTTGCAATCAGTGGCCGCCACAAGGCCGTGGCGGTCGACTGGCTCGGCTTTCCGTGCCGCGTGTCTCCCTCTCGTGTTTGCTCTACTTGACGCTGCATGGCGTCCACACGGCGCCGGGTGTGCCCTCTGACTCGCGCGACATCTCGTGAACGTTCGAGGTCGTCGGCCATTTTACCCACCTCGTCCGCCGAGCGCGCGGCAAGGTGTGGCGCTTCGCCGTCTTCATGCCGACTGCGAAAATGTTTCATCTCTTCAACGTGTCGATGAGCATTGGCGCCGCACTCAAGGTGGACGGGTATCGTGCTGGTTTCGGGGGTGTCGCTCAAGGTGACGACCGTGGACGAGGACACTCCGGCTCTCATCTTTGACGCGCCGATGTTTTTGGCCAAGCTCGACACTCTTGACGACGACACTGCGACGGCTGCGACCTAAGACGAGCCGCCCTCCAAGAAGCGCAAGGGCAACGACGAGCTCACGGTGACGGCAGCGATGGCCAAGGAAGAGCCGGTCGAGATCACGTCGCAGCAGCTCAAGGGTCTCAAGGTCGACAACGAGGAGCTGCGCGGCGACAACAAGGAGCTTCGCGACCAGCTCAAGCCGCTCGTGGCCGACAATCTGCAGCTTCCCAGTCGACCAGACCATTAATTACTCTTACAGGGTAATCTTTCTAATACAACACACACCAATGCAACATGCATCTTGTTTGAGATCGTATCTTCCTCGTGTTGCAGTCACCGACGTAAATAGTAGCAGCTACAGGTTGAGGCCGTGTATGCTGAGATGCGCTCGCTTCGAAGTCGCAAGAAGCATCCCGCGAGGCTACGGATCCAAGCCTAAGACTCGAGTGCACAGAATAAATTACGAGGTTACATATAATAGATCGCTCATTTGAGCTTGGTGAGGTTAAGTGCATTGCGGCCCCGCACGACGAGCCGCGTCGCCCGGGAACAGAGGCGCTTGAGCTTCGAGTCGACGTTGACCTTGACGTGGAGTGGCGACGACTCGGTCGGTTTGGTCTTGGGCGCGACGAGGTAGACGTAAATGGCGGCGACAACCATCGCCGAGATGACGTTGATGAGGATGCTCTGGATGAGGCCCATGTTCGAGTAGACGTACTCGGTCACAAACGGCAGCAGGCCGATCGGCGACGCCATCATAAAGCCATGCGTCGTCTTGGGGCCCGCGCTGCCGTGGACCACACGCATCGACCGACGCTGCGCCGCGACCGTCGAATCGCCATACGGGTCCGAGAAGAGCGTCATCCCAAAGACAAAAGCGCAGAGAACAAAGCCCGCAACGGGCGCGGCAAGCTTCTTCGAGCTCGTCTGCTGGACGACCGGCGTGGCCTCTTCGAGGGACGTGACTGCAGATTGCACGTTCGTGTTGGTACCGCTGGACACGAGGCCGCGAAGGAACTGGTTCTGGTCGCGGAGCGACTGGTTCTCGGCGCGGAGGGCCGCGACTTCGGTCTTGAGCGCGTTGCGCTCGTCCGTGAGCACCTGGACATCGCTCGCGAGGTCGTTGATCTGGTTCTTCCGGCGCAGGCGCGACTTGTTGGCGCTCTCACGGTTCTTCATGAGGCGGATCTCGTGCTTCGAGCGCTTCGTCGTGGGCTCGATCGGGTCGGCGTCAAGCGGGCGCTTCTGGACCATCGGTGGCATCATGGTCTGCATCGGCAGCGCGTACGGGATCATGTTGACGTCCGTGACGATGGGCATCGCCGTCGCGAGCGGCGTCGCGGCCCACGGGTACATGCCATAGCCGCCGCCGACCTTGGCGTGGTTCACGGGCGACGACGACGCCGACGAGCGCGAGTCGTCCGAGCAGTAGCTGGACGGCGACGAGCAGACGGTCGAAGTCGCATCCGAGGCCTCTTCCGCCTCCATCATCGAGTCGAAGAGGGCCATGTCCATGGGCGCTTCCAGGAAGGCGGCGACGTCGGCCTCGTCCGGCAGCGTCAGGAACATGTCAAGCGAGTTCATCGTGTCCAGCATTGAAAATGGCAAATGGGCGTGCTGCGGAGAGGCCAGTTTCGACTTGGGACGATCGGATTGGCCAAAAAGACGACCTACATTCGCATTCTCCAGCCTTTTGCACCAATCCCAGACGCTGATGGAAATCGAACCAATCAGCGGTCGCCAGCGTGAAATGAACTTTTCGATCGAAACGCCATTGCGCGAAAGTGCGGCGAACGTATCAGAGCCGCGTAATCGGCGGGTTAAAAGGAGGGTTAGAGCTCTTTAACGCGTTAAACATAGGGTAATCGCACTCGTCCGGCGCACGGTTGCGGTGAGGTGCTGTGCAAGCGTCGTCATGCAATGTGCGACGAGCAGCAAAAGCTACCGCACACATTGTGGACGAGCTGCCGTCATCTCTGCCAGAGAGCCCTGCATCTGGACGCCATTAAGCAAGCGCCTAAGCTCTTAGCACAGGGAGGCGCTTGTGGCAAAGTCACACGTGGCGTCGTGGGATCAGCAACAACACATAGCAAGGTAGCAAGGTGGCGCCAAGACCAGCGTACCTACTCTATGTGATCCAGCGGGTGAGTAGCTGTGTCGACGTCACGGACAGGCTGCCATCATCGTCAACACGACGGTTCAAGATACCGTAAGTCCGCCGCTCGCAAGCACTTTGGTCGGGCGAGTCGCGAAGCAACCAGCGTGCGCCGTGCAGCAGCGTGGTAGAGTTCGCAGCATGGTGACCATGGCGCTGCGTGGCGTGTGCATTGCTGAGCTCTCGAACCTCCAACCACTCGGTTCAGTTAGGTTAACCGGTTCCGCCGCCCTTTCCCATCCGTATGTCTTTTTCCCCGTGTTTACGGAAGGCAGCATCATTTCCGCAAACCCATGACGACGACGCTCCACCACCGCCGAGCCGCGTCGCCCGAGACGACGCCGCCCCGCTCCGGCCGCGCCAAGCCCGCCAAGGAAGAGGTCAACGAGGTCGACGAGGCTGAGAAGAAGAAGGCGTCGTTCATCAAGCGCTGCATCACGGGCTTCTCGCTCATCGGCGTCTACTCGCTCATCATCTACGGCGGTAGCATCATCCTGGCGCCGCCGAGGCTCATGGCGCGTCTGTAGGCCATCTCTACGTCACGCTTCTTGTGCTGCTGTTGCAGGTATTGACGCCATTGCATGACCATGCTCAACCTCGCGCTAGACCATGATTTTCCGCGAGCTTGTCAACGTCCGGTACCGCGCCAACGCCGAGAAGAACCTACCGTGGTTCCGCACCATCCAGGTACGCTAATGCGGCGGGTAGAGTCGATGCGGACGATGCTGATGTCTTAGTGGTGCTGGTTTGGCGTCGCGATGGTCTACAATTATGGCGACTCGTCGCAAGCGTTCTTGCGCGCCGACTCGGAGTTTGGCTGGATCAAGTGGTACTCGCACTACCACTCGTGGGTCTCGTTCTCGCTCTACGCGCTCCTCTTTGTGTTCTCGGTGCTGAGCCTCAAGAAGGGCTACTACAAGTACCAGATGGGCCAGCTCACGTGGACGATCGTCACGCTGTGTCTGATCGTCTTCCAGATGCGCTACGTGCTCGACAACATCTTCCAGGGCCTCTTCTGGTTCTTCTTCCCGTCGGCGCTCGTCGTCTGCAACGACTGCTTTGCGTACTTTTGCGGCAAACTCTTTGGAAAAAAGTTTGTCAAGACCCAGTTTCTGAAGCTCTCGCCCAACAAGACGTGGGAGGGCTTCATTGGCGCCTTCTTCTGCACGCTCATCTTTGCCTTCTTCTCGAGCTCGTGGCTCGCGACCTTGCCGTGGATGACGTGCCCGCTCGACTCGCACCCGCAGTTCTTCCCGGAACCGCTTTCGTGCAACGTGCATCCGGTGTTCGTCAAGGCCGCTTACGCCGTCCCCGCGTGCATCACTGCGTACGTGCCGACGTGGACCCATGTCCAGCTCTTCCCCGTCCAGGTACGATACGAAGCGGATGGCCGCGACTGAGGCGCGTTCTAGTTGCATGCGATCATTTTTGCGAGTTTTACCTCGGTGATTTCGCCCTTTGGCGGGTTTTACGCGTCGGCCATCAAGCGTGCGTACAAGCTCAAGGTGACCTGCGGCGGTGTCGACAGGAGTTTGACGCGATGCGTAGGACTTTGACTCGCTCTTGCCGGGCCACGGCGGTGTCATGGACCGCATGGACTGCCAGTTTATCACGGCGCTCTTCACCGCGGTCTACTGCTCGACGTTCATCTGGTGCGTCACTTCAGAATCTCAGTTCTGATGTGCGTCGTTAGGTCGTACCACACCAACGTCGAGGCGATTGTGACGAGCGTCCTTCGCCTCTCGATCGACGAGCAGCGCCAAATCCTGCAGCAGCTCCAGTCGGCGGTCACGGCGCAGTAAACGAAGTCGCTAAGCAACCGCAATCTCACTGTGACTTTCAAGCTCTTTAGCCTGTCTGCCAACGTATACAAAGGTCAGAGAAGAAGGAATCGTTGGTTCATAAGGGGAATATCTCGACGCGTGGCTTCCAATGGCCAGCGTCCTCGTGGTCTAATATATACGGAATAAATGATTCGGGTGGGAGGCAGCTGCAATCGCTGCATCTCGGCGCTTAGGCGGTCGCCGTGACGGGGCGCGTCAGATCGATTTGATCGCGCGACGGGATGGCCTTGGGCAGCGTGACCTGGATGCGGGGCTTGAAGATCGCGGGGAGGTCCTGGAACGCGAGCACGACCGAGGTTTGGTAGACGAACTCGACGACGCTCGACCGGCGCGGCGCGTTCGTCGAGAGCGTCGGCGGCGACGGCGGGGCACCCGCGAGGCCAATGATGCGCCAGAACTCGACGTCCGAGAGCTCGAGCGACGACTTGCGCGCGAGGTGGCCGCGGCGCAGGGCCGTCTGCGTGAGCGGCGTGAGCGCGCTCTTGGCGACAAACTCGTCGGGGTTGCCGAGCATGCGGCGCCAGCAAAGCTTGAAGATGTTCATCGAGGAGGATGGTGTGGACTCGGTGGCAAGTTGGGAAATGAGCTCACTTGCTGGGAACGCCACGTACGGTGCGGAGGAACCAGATGGGCGTAGGAGCGAGACTGGCGGTCGTGACGCGCCGACACGAAGCCTTCATCTACCCATGGTACCACTGCCTTGCTACGAGAAGTCTGTGCGTGGAGCTGTCCGCGAGCCGCTTGCATTTGCAGCGCGCTTCTCGGTGTCTTGTGCCCGCGTTGCACTGGCCTCGGCACGTGTACAGTCGGCAGCGCAGAGCTGGATGGTTCGGTCGTGGAAGGTTCGCGTCGCGTTCGGCGGTGGCAGCTGGCGCCAAGAACGCGGTCGAGAGGCAGGCCGTGCCAACTCTGCTCGTGCCATCGCCGCCACTCGTCAAGTGAAACACAGTGCGTGGTAAATGCAAGGAGGTCGCGCAGCTGCCGAGGACGAAGACTGCAGACGTGCAACGTCGGCTTCGACGAGCACCTCGTCAATGGTGGCGGCGACGGAACGTTCACATAGCCCGCGCCGTCATCGCTCGCGCTGTTACGCACGGTAGATAGTACAAGAGGACTAGAATCTCTGGGGAGCCAACCACCATCTAGCCCAAGTCATTGACGCAGAGAAGGCAGCGTGACGACCGTGCGCGTGACGTGGCACGACGAGCTGGCGCTCATGGCTTCCCCAGGCCGTTCGTCGGCTGGAAGAGCACGAGGAAAGAGCTTTGCCCACAAGGCTTTGGACAGTGCAGAAGGTGCAGTCGTAGTCGAACGCGACTAACTAAACGCGGCAGTCCTTCATCTCTCCCATCCACATTGCACTTGACAGGCCGATCGATTTTGACCACTCAGCGCGCTCCATTTTCATTCTCGCGAGGCCATTGGCCGGAAATATATAGCCACAAAGTCAGCTTGTATTTGCGAAACCCACGACGAGCTCCGCGACGACGATGGACCACCTGGACTTTCTCGACCTCTGTGCTGACGGCGACTTCCTCTCGCGCGGGCCGCGCCAGGACTTCCGGAAGGAGCTGCGCGGCTTCCGCGACCTCCTCTGGGACAACGCGTGGGCCGGCTTTGGCGTCTACCGCAAGAGCATGGAGACCATCGTGCACATCGTCGTCGACGACGCGGTGGGCGGCGGTGTTGCCTCTTTTGACGCAGCGCTCCGACACATCGACCGGCTCGGCAGCCACTTGAGCTCGATCGACGCCAAGGCGGGGAGCACGTACCTGCGCACATTTCGCTGGGGCATGACGGGCTTCCAGGTCTTCAAGAACATGGACACGCATGGCAAGCCGAGCGCTGATCTGCCCGACCACGCGCCTCTTCTCGAAAGCATCAAGGCCGAGTGGATCACGATCGCAGGCATCCAGATGAAGAGCATTGTCACGTGCTTTGAGTGGCTGCACGGAGCTCTCGGTCAACTCGACGGCAAGACCGAGACGCGTGCGCCCGTCCGGCACTACGCGCCCCGGGCGACGCAGGTGGTGTCGCCCGAGCGCGAGCCGTCGCCATCGCCGTCACCGTCGCCGACGCGGATCGAGTCCAAGCCTCTCGGTGTGCAGACGACCGCGTCGTACGACGAGGGCGGCACGGCGCGTACTTCCTTGGTGACGCGGGCCGAGCCGTCTCGGGTGTCGAGTAATTATGTGGCGCCCGCGCCGTATCAAGCGCCGCCGCCGCTGAAGACGGTTGTGATGGACAAACCGCTTCAGGATCTTGTAAAGATGGTGCTGGTGGAGCTGCAAGACCGGTACCGGGCGTCGCTGCGACCTCGCTTCTACCAACAGTGCACGCGTGCTGCGTTCTGCAAGATTCCGGGCTGCAACTATTGGCACTCGGACGAAGATAGAGTCCTTGTCGGTGTCACGCGGGCGATCATGATGCGCGGTGTGTGGAAGACGACGTACTGTAAATATGGCGCCGAGTGCCCGTATATTCAAGCGTGCAACCACCTGCACGACCACGACGGCCGAGAGATTGATCAAATGAAGAGTTTGGCCCACCGCCTCGTCGAGCGTATCCTCGAAAAGGCCACGGGCGAGGTCGAAGTGCATTTTGTGAATGGCAAGAAGGTCAAGGTGCTCACGTAAGTAGCGAGCGATCCATATACTATGTGGACAAGCACGCACAACGTTTAACGATCAATTAAAGTGGTTATTGACGGCCTCGAAGTCGCCATGCCAGGAAGAGCCCGCCGAGGGTGCGGAAGAGGAGGTTGATACCGACAAGCAGGAGCGCATCGCCCCAGAAGGACCCGCCGTCCAAGCTCATGTTGGCCAAGACGGTCGCACCGTCACGGGCAATGCAGTTGCGGGAGGGGCCTTCGCACGGGATCGACGCGACATGGGACCAGAAGGCGCGGCTGAGGCCTCGGAACGCGTACTTCATCGGCGAGACGACCTCGAGCCACTTGAAGTAGACAGGCGTCATGGCCGCGTTCAGGAAGAGGCCGCCGAAGATGAGAAACGGCAGGAGCACCATGATGCCAACGACTGGCGCAATCTCGGGCCGCTGGACGACGCACGACACCATGTAGCCGAGGCCCGTGGCCGCTGACCCGAGCAGCGACAAGAAGAGGTAGAACGAGCTCCAAACGGGCAGCGAGAGGGGAAACCCGACCATGAAATACGCGGGCAGCAGAAACACGAGCGGGAAGAGCACTTGAAGGCCGAGCTCACTCGCGTTCTTCGCCAGGTACCAAACGTACGACGGGTACAAGCCGCTTTGAAACTCGCGCGCCATGATGGGCAGCTCGAGTGCAACGGCGGCAAACTCGGGCGCGGCCATACCAAAGAACTGGTTGATCACAATGAAGAAGAGGACGCCCGTGAACGACTGGATGCCGAGCTGCGTCAGCGGCAGCTGCCAGTAGATCAGCCCCACAATGACCGACACGAAGACGTTCTGCGCGACCTTGGCCCGGAACGCCATCTTGTCGCGGAGGATGCGCAGCGCGTTGCGCCGGCAGAGCACGGCGAAGAGGCGCGGCGATGCAACCCCAGTGCGCTCCGAGAGCGGCTCGCCGCCGTCGTCGTCGTCGGAGACATACGTGGCGCCACGCCACGCGGCCACGAGGTCGTTAATTGGAGCGCGCTCGGCGAGCATGAGCTCGCGCATGAAAAAGTCGGTCGGGTTGACGTACGTGGGGCAGACATGCCCGACGGACGCAAAGTAGTCTCTCGCAAGCGACGCGGGGCCGACGTAGACAGGCGACCCGTTGGACAAGAGGTAGAGCGTGTCAAAGGCTGCATAGACCTCGGCGGACGGCTGGTGGATGGTCGCGACAACCGTGCGGCCCGCGCGGGCGAGGGCTCGGAGCTGCGCGACGACCGACTCGGCCATGAAGCTGTCGAGACCCGAAGTGGGTTCGTCCACGAAGAGCAGCGACGGGTTCGTGAGGAGCTCGGACGCAAAGCTCAAGCGCTTGCGCTCGCCGCCCGAGATCCCGCGGATGCGGTGGTCGTCGCCAATCTGCGTGTCCCGGCATTTCGAGAGGCCCATTTCTTCGAGGACCGAGAGCACGCGGGCGTGGCGCACTTCCGGCGGCCAGTGCGTACGCAGCTGCGCTTGGAAGAGAAGGTGCTCCAGCACCGTGAGCGACGGGTAGAACGCGTCCGTTTGCATGATGTACGACATGTGCTGGCGCATGGCGTCTTTGGTGCAGGGCTGGCCGTTGACGCGGATGTCACCTGCGTAGCGCGGCTGGCGGCCCGCGAGGACGTCCAGAAGCGAGCTCTTCCCGGCGCCCGACGGGCCCATGATCACGAGGAGCTCACCAGGCTTGGCGACACCCGACTGCGTGTGCAAGATTGTCTTTGGCTCGGCCTTGGTCGCTACTTGAAGCTCGAGGTTTCTCCACGAGAGCGTGACGGGCTGCACAGACGCGAGCGGCGTCTCGATGTGAAGGGCGTAGGACGCCATCGAGACAATTGAGTTGTGACCGTCGCTGCCAAGCAGCAAGATGGACGCCGGAACCGACGATCGCGCATACAAAGCGACGACGACATCCCGGCGACTCGTTGAAGCCACCGAGATTGGTAATCGGGTCGGTTGATGCGATGGCGATCTTCCCGCTCGAGTCACAGACAACATCTACACGTTGTATGCAGATATCCCATAGGTAATTCGCTTTGAACAGTTCAGTAGACTGCATAAATGCATATTTCGTTCGTATTAGAAGGCTCACCTCGAGCCCAGGTTTGGCGCGCTTCTGTGGCGTGTCAAGGTCTCTGGCACTGCTACAACGTTGCCGCACCGGATGCTACTCAGAGTCCCACCTATGGGCTGGAAAATCATCGAATGTCCTCCCAACGATCGCGTCTGTGAGCTGCCACAAAGCTCTGCCGCAACGTCAAACGTGCAGGAGGGCCCTGATCCTCAACCCACTTCTCTCCCACACTTGGTATTGTGAAACACATCAAATGACCGAATTTGCTGCACTTGCTAAAATAATCGGATACGAGCGTACCCTAGTAGAGAAGCCCTGGAGCCTGGGAGCAACGCGGTGTGATGGGCCATCACACCGCGATCGAGCCATGAGTGATGACTCGATCGACGACATAGTTGGGTGTGTCTAGCCTGACCGCTACTGCACTGTGTCCGTTTCGACCGCCGGTGGCGTGCGCTTGGTGTCTTTCTCCAAGCGATAGAGGCTCCATGGACGCGGTAGACGATCTTGATACATTGCATGCGATCACATGGCCAAAATGGATTGTCGACAGGGTGCCTAGCTCGCTGTGGCACGCCTCTTAAGGCGCGTGTTTTAAGCCTCCTGACCGTGCCGCACGTTGATTGGCCACGCTCCAAACTCGAATTTTAGCCAATTGGTCGGGAGGTTGTCCCCACCAGATATACAAACAGGAAGCGATGTCATTCGGTGGATTCGGCGTCTCGGCGACGGCGACGAGCGCGAGCCCGGCGGCGGCCGACTACGACGTCCCGCCCGATGTCCCCGACAGCATCCAGGACCTGAGCTGGAGCCCGACGGCCAACGTCCTCGTCGCTGGCTCCTGGGACAACTACGTGCGCTGCTGGGAGGTCAACCACCAGCAGACGCAGTTCCAGGCGGTGGCCCGCGCCCAGATCCAGCACAAGGCGCCCGTGCTCTGCACAGCGTTTAGCGCGGTACGTGTGCTACCGTGGGCCATGGCGGCTAAGCACGTTCTAGGACGGCTCGACCGTGTTTCGGGCAGTTGCGACAAGACGGCGCTCATGTGGCAGCTCAACGGGCCCGCGACCGGCCAGCAGATCGCGCAGCACGACCAGCCGATCCGTGGCATCCGCTTCGTGCCCACGGCCAACTGCGTCGTCACCGGCTCCTGGGACAAGACCGTCAAGTACTGGGACACGCGTGCGCCGCAGGCACAAGCCACGGTGCAGCTCAGCGACCGCGTGTACGCGCTGGACGTTGTCTACCCGCTCATGGTCGTCGCGACCGCCGACAAGATGATCCACTGCTTTGACTTGACCAAACCGTCGCAAATCTTTGCCGTGCGTGCTTGCATGTAGCATGTGGTCGCTCATGGCGCTCTCTCTAGTCGATCAAGTCCAACCTGAAGCTGCAGACGCGCTGCATCGCTGCGTTCCCGGACGCGTCCGGCTTTGCGATCGGGTCCATCGAAGGCCGTGTCGCCATCCAGCACATTGACGAGAAGAAGAAGCAAGAGTATTACACCCGATCCTTCCCAAGTGCAAACTCGTCACATTGCACTTAGGGCCGACTTCGCGTTCAAGGCGCACCGCGACACGGCCAACAACTCTGTCAACCCCGTGAGTAGCGTCGCGTTCCACACGCTCAACGGCAAGATGGCGACGACGGGGACCGACGGCTCGTACACGTTCTGGGACAAGGACATGCGCAAGATGCTGCGCAACTTTCCCAAAATGTACGCGGCTTCAAATCCCACGGACGCCCATCATCTTTTTTTGTAGTCCCAACTACCAGGGCATTTCCGTCGGCAAGTTTAACGCGCAGGGCGATATCTTTGCGTACGCGACGTCGTACGACTGGCACAAGGGCGCCGAGGGGTACAACCAGCAGGCGCGCAACGTCATTCGCCTGCACCACGTCGACCAGACCGACCTCACGGTCAAGGCTAAGAAGTGATTTATTCGACTTCAACCAGATTATGCATACACACTCGTGTTGATGGACTTAGTTCGCCTGCTCGACGATCGCGAGGAGGACCTTGCGGTAGTTGCCGGACGTCTCGCCGTAGATGCGGTCGCGAAGCGACGTGCCGTACTTGTCCTTGTAGGCTTGCTTGACCTGCGGGAGGAGGTGCTGGTAGCGGACAAGGGCGGCCGAAAGACTGTACTCGTCGGTGCCCATGCCCTTCATCGTCTTTTCAAACTGCGCCGCGATCGTCTCGATCGGGTGGAGGATCATGCCGACGTGGTAGAGGAGTGCGTCTTCGGCTTTGCCGCCAAACTCCTTTTCGATCGCACGCTCGAGGCTGTTGCCGTGCTTGGCAATGTACGCGGCGTTGACGGACGAGAGAAAGGCCGGCGGGATCGAGCAGAGGGCGTTGCAGAACGCCGACTCGTCTGTGCCCCACTTGCCCTCGCCGGCCTTGTAGATGACCTCGGCGACCTCGACGGCCTTGGCCTGCGTGTGGATCTCGGGGTCGTACGCCGGCGGGTTGATGTTGAGAATCGCTTGGACAAAGACCTTGAGGTCGCCGCCGAGATCGCCGGCGAGGACGACGGCCATGTCCTCGGCGAACGTCTTGAAGTAGGCCTTCTTGAGGATGAGGAGCTCCTCGGCCGTGCGCCCACCGAGGACGGGGTAGATGAGCTTCTCGTTCGTGCCGGCGCCCTTGGTCGCATCACGAAGGATGAGCGCCTCGGCCTCCTCCAGCGGCTGCGCGAGGAGCTGGAGCAGCTTGCCGTAGCTGCCCGAGACTTCGCTTTTCATTTCGGAGAGGAGCGAAACGCGCTGGAGCTCCGGGTACCGGGCCGAGATGAGGTAGCGCTCGCTCGCGGTCTTGGTTGCGAGGACGTTGCTGAGCTTGTCGTCGTCCGTGCCAAAGCCGGCGCAGGCCGTCTTGATCTCGTAGACCCAGTTGTCGATCTGGAGGTCGGCGTGGGGCACGGCCTCGCCGCGGCTCGCGAGGTGCGTCTCGTTGGAGTAGATGCTGAGCATAGGCAACTGTTCGAATGGCCCCAAGCGTCGAGTCTTCCTCTTCTTCGAATCGAAACTCTGCTGCGTCAACGGCCGCCGACAACGCACGCTCCGTATCAACGCCGTATCAGGCTCCAAGATCTGCGCGGGCTGGCTACCAAGTTTCCACCTCTAACTCCAGCAGGAAACCATGTGTAGCCTAGACGCACAACAACTGCATTAGCCGCTTCGGCTTTTATTCGGCTCTTAGACGGAGCGCGAGCGGCCGAAGCGAGAGCCGCCAGACGACATCCCACAGCCGGAGATCGTAGAGGTCGACAAGCGTCTTTTCCGTGTTCGTGTACGCGCCGTCAACGACGTGGAAGCCGTAGACGCAGAAATACCGCCGATGCAGGATCAAGTTGATACATAGCCACGGGTAGTCGGCGATCTCGATGACAATCGTGTCGCGGACAACGAGGTACCCGAGCAGCCAGATGCTCGAGGCCGGTATCACGGCCCTCTCTTCGGTCCCTGTCGTGCAGGGGGTCGGTGCCACGATCCCTTGCGCCTTGGCGAAGAGCTGTCTTTCCGACTGGGCCAAGTGGAGGATTTCGGACCGGAGACGCTGTGGTATGTGCTCACGCGAGAGGTACGGGACGACTTGGGCGCGTCTGGGCCCGTCCCGCGCCGGCTCCAAGCGCTTCGCAACGAGTGTATAGACGGCGGTGAGGAGTAGAGCTACGTAGAACCACGTTAGCTCCGTCACAAAGAGGCAGAGAGGGGATCGCGCATTCTCGTGGGCCGCCCAAAGCGCCATGACGCCATTAGGATTCGGTACAATGTCCTTGAGGTAGTTGGAGAAGACAAAGTCGTCCGTCTCGCGGAGCATCCATCCGCAAGCGCTCAACAACTCGGTTCGGAAGACCCAACAGCAAGTATAGATACCCACAAGAACGTCGAGGCAGACGCGCGCGCGCAACACATCGCAGAGCGTCAGAGCGAACGAGAGAATGTACGTGAGGCCGTCCGAGCGGACCATCGCATCCAGGACGAACCCGTAGTTAAGGCCGAGCCGGGCGTTGCTGTGCTGGAGGCAAAACTCGAAAACGTGCCAAAACTGGTTGAAAATCGTGGCGCCGAGGAGCAAGATGGCGCGTAGCTGGATGCGGCGCTGGATGCTCGGGTACAAGTCGGGGACCCAGAGCACGTGGTCGTGGCGCCAGCGATTGCAGACGATCACGATCGACACAAATATGTTGAGAAAGAGGTTGACCGAGACGCCCATGCCGAGAAGGCAGCGCACCCACGCGTAGCTGTCGACGCAAAACGGCGAGATCCAGTACGCCAGCGTGGAGATCGACGCTCTCGGGTCGTCGACGAGCGCCCAGTGGAAAAGGCCGTAGTTGCCTTGGGTGCGAAGTGCGCCTCGGTAGAGGCCCACCGAGCCGTAGACGACAACGTCTTCGCGCGTCGGAGACAGCGTGCCGGTCCAGCGCCCGTTGGACGGCGACGGATCTCGCACCGTGAAGAGCTGGAAAGGCGCCAAAATGTACGGAAACTCAATGCCGACGAGAAGACGGTAGGACGGCTTCTGTGGCGATGGCGATGGCGATGGCGCGAGCGCACTCAGCGACGTTGTCGCGACCGACGCGACACCGCACGCGCTAAGAATGTGCTTCTGTGGCCGATCCAGCGTCATGGTCTGCAGCACGATGGTGGTCACGTTCACACGCCCTGGGTCCAGAAGGTGGACCTTGAGCGCCGTGGTGTCGTGGACGCGCCGGCCGTCAAAGGCGCAGTCGACGAGGACCGTGTAGTGCGAGAGGTTGATGGCATGCCACGCACGCTGGTTATCCAAGAGGTTGTGCAAGAGCAAAGTGAGAAAAGGCGGGCGAAGCATCGCGTCGTCTGGCGTCGGGGCGAGGCAGCCGCTGCTGTCGAGCACAAGCCTTTCGTCCACTGCGGTATCGAGGTAGACGAACGAGAGGCCGGGTGTCTGGGACGGCTGCCAATGCGTTTGGTTGGCGAGAAAGGCCAAGAGGAAAGGCAGGATGAGTGGGCTCTCGTAGTTGAGGCTTGGCATCAAGTCCATGCTGGCACCAAGCAGCACCTGCCGCGTCGCCATGGAGCCTGTGACTTCCACGTACAAGACGAAGAAGGCGGCCGCGCAGCAGAGCAGACGGCGACACTGCACGTACGCTGCCAGGCAGCGTCGCTGCATATTTAAAAACCTGTTTCGCTGATAACGGTTCATGAAATTCGCTACTCGACTGCGTTGTCCGCCGATCCCGCAAACATCCATAGAGCCATATGCGTGTAGTATGTTGTTTAAATCACCCAGCAGTATTGTCCGTCTCCTGTGGATCAAAGGTCCATTTTTGATGTTTGAGATTGAGTTTTGAAGTTTGAGATTGAGTTTTGACGATAATTAGCGCAGAGGGCGTAGCGAAATGTGGCACAGCAGGTCTCGCGCGCGAAGGCCTTGCATCGGAAGGGGCTCCTTGTGAATGCTTGTCGTGTCACCCTCTTGGATCCGAAAGCAGTAGACGCGGAAGACGCGCGACGGCAAGAGAAGGTTGGCCCAAATCCGAACATAGTCGCGGAGTTCGACCACAAACTCGTCCTTCAGGATGATGTAGCCGAGGAGCCAGATCGCGGACGGCGACACCTTGCGTGTGCCGCCGCAGAGCTTGTACTCGTCGAGGGGTGCGACGAGGCCGTACGTCTGGGCCAGCGCATGCATCGTACTGCGCTCGAACAGGGAGCTCCCGTCCTTCGCGTCGGCGTCGTTCGAGCAAGTGTAGAGCGACGACTGGCGCGACCAGCGTTGGTGCGCGGGCCGCGGCGAGCGCTCTTCGCTGTTGGCGATCCCGGCCGCGATGCGCACGGGTTGTCGCCGCCAAAGCCGCCGGCGAAGTGGCTTGTCCAGTGCGACGCCGTAGAGCAGCGTGAGGCCAAGGGCGACGACATACCACGAGAGCTCGGTCGCGAGGAGATAGCTAGGTGTCTCGGTATTGCGGTGGTACATCCACAGCGTCATGGCCGCGCCAGGTTCGGACACGATGCAGTCGACGTAGTTGGCGTCCAGAAAAGCATTGGTTTCGTCCATGCGCCACTGCAGGAACGTGACAAGGGACAGTCGCTGGTGCACGCAGACCACGTACAGAAGGACGACGACGTCGAGGCAGAGGCGCGTTTGGAGCACGTCCGCGAGGGTCAGCGCCAGCGCGAGGAGGTACGTGAGCCCGTCCGAGCGCACCATGTCGTGCAGCAGAAACCCTTGGTTGATGCCTTGGCGCGCGTTGCCGTTCTGGAGACAGTACTCGAAAATGTGCCAGTAGTTGGTCGCGATCGTCGCGCCAAGCAGCAGCAGCGACCGCAGCTGGATGCGCCGCTGGATGCTGGGGTACAGATCCGGTATCCACACCTCGCGGCGCGAGAGCCACGAGTGCCCGACAACGAGGAGCGCGACGGCGCAGTTGGCGCCGAGGTTGAAGGCGACGCCCAACCCGAGGAGGCAGCGCACCCACGCGTAGCTGTCGACTGCAAATGGCTCTGCAATGTAAGCGATCTCTTCCAGAAAGCGCTGGGGGTCGTCTGGGAGCGCCCAGTGGTAGAAGTCGTAGTTGCCTTGGATCGCCGGCGACTCGCGGTACACTCCGTCCGTGCCCGACAAGATGACGCGCTCGCCCGAGCTATGCACCGTCGCGTGCCACTGCGTCTCGCTCGGGTCCTGCAGCGCGATGCGCTCAAAGGGAGCCAACACAAACGGGAACTCGATTCCGAGGAGGTGGAAGTACGTCGCCGGCGCCGCCACGCCGTGGATGGGCGACGTCACGACGTTGGCAAGGCCGCCGCTGAGCGTCATGCACTTGGCCGGTCGCGTCAGCAGCATGGTTTGGAGAAAGACCGTCGTCACGTTGGTCTGCGTCAAGTCGATCAAGTGCAATTTGAGCGCTGTCGTGTCGTTGAGCAGCCGTCCCGTGTACGCGCAGTCGACGACGACGACGTGGTCGGCAAGGTCGACCGCGTGCCACGACCGCTGCGCATCGAGGAGCTGGTGCAAGAGCGGTGCCACGTAGCTTTGATTGTACATGGCGTCGCTCGGAAAGTAATTTCCGCAGGACGTTCTTGACACGGTCAAGGTCTCCGATGGCTCGGTTTGATCAATGTAGAGCACATTGAGGTGCGGTGTCGGCGCGAGCGCTGCCAAGTAGCTCGCATTGGCAGCCACGCGACGCAAGAACGGACCGATGAGAGGGCTGTAGTACACGTTGCTGAGCTCTGCGGGCGCGGCGGCACCGTACAGTGCCGTCCTCGTCGCTATCGAGCCCGTCACTTCGATGTAAAGCACCACCAAGGCCGCGACGCACGACGAGAGACGCCGGGCGGCCACGTACGCGTCTCGCCATGGCGACGACACCATCTTGTGTACGGGTGCAGGATGAAACGGCAATGTCGGCCTTTCTATTCCTCGTTAACCTAGTCGCCTACCAGTATATCTAGTATACCAGAAGCCTTGGACTCGACAGCAACACGATAAGCAAAAATAAGATACCATATATGTCGACACCTTAGTTGGAGTGCTCGAGAATCGCGAGGAGGAGCGCGCGGAAGTCGCCGGACGTCTCGCCGTAGATGCGGTCACGGAGCGACTTGCCGTACTTGGCCTGGTACGCCTGCTTGACCTGCGGGAGGAGGTGCTGGTAGCGGACGATGGCGCACGCGAGGGCATACTCGTCGGTGCCCAAGCCCTTCATCGTCTTTTCAAACTGCGCCGCAATCGTCTCGATCGGGTGGAGGATCATGCCGACGTGGTAGAGGAGTGCGTCTTCGGCTTTGCCGCCAAACTCCTTTTCGATCGCACGCTCGAGGCTGTTACCGTGCTTAGCCACGTACGCGGCGTTGACGGCCGGCATGAACTGCGGCGGGATCGAGCAGATCGCGTTGCAAAACGTCGCTTCGTCCGTGCCCCACTTGCCCTCGCCGGCCTTGTAGATGATTTCGGCGACCTCGACGGCCTCGGCCTGCGTGTGGATCTCGGGGTTGAACGGCTGCTGCATCTGGTTG